TATTTAACAAGTGGTTGGTTTAAAGAATTTAACTGGAAAATAAATAAATAAGTATCAAGACATACAATTTGTTTGGGTTATGTCGAAAAATTAATTTGAAATAAAACATTACGTCACCAGCAAAGTAAAAAAATTCAGGTGCATGAGAACCAACTTTCAAAATTAATGGTTCGGTCCTTCCCTTGTTTTTGGGTCCGTGGTGCCCAATTATAGCTCGAGCTAAAGTTTTGCTTGCAGAATGGGTACTGATGTAATGTATACGCAAAAGAAAGTTGTCATATATCAATTTCTTATTTTTTTTTAACGTGAAAATTTCTCAATTAGTCGTTACTCTGTGTTTTGAAATTAAAAGGGTATATTTTTATAGGCTTGTTTTCACATTCTTACGTCGAACAAGTCTAAAATGAACTGAATATCAGAGAGGGCATTGTGAGGTCTTGAGATGAAGTGAAATAAAATCTAGAAAATAAAGGAATCTAAATATTTTTCTTTTATTTGACAATACAGATTCCAGCTTTGGCCTATTGTATCGCTTCTCGCTTGTAAAGACTGCTTGACTTTTGCAGATGTTGAATTATAATCCTGATTGACTAAATAAGAATATCATTGTTATAAATCAATTCATATGTGACATTTTAGTACACATGGGGGCGAGCGTTCATTGCGTTCCACTAGTTCACAAAACCTTGAAAAAGAGAGAATTTGGCGAAGTTTCGACAACATTGTTGACACAACTGTCAATATTGGAACAAGTGAAGACAAAGGGGGAGATAATCTAGTGATGGCTTTTAGGTTTTAAAGATAATCAAAACTAACAGGTGATAGTAAGATCTATTAGATTCTAATGTAAACAAGTTTAATACTTAGTGTACAGATTATCTTTACCTGAAACTTTCACGTGGTATTTATACGGTATTCAAACTACTACCCATATCAAAGACAACGACTGTTTGACTTTCCATCATAAAATATGCCCCGCAACATAAAGGATCAAACTGCAAAGAGCGCTTCCGTGCTTGCGGATAGACTCGATGGGGACTTTCTCTATCCAATACTTGAAGATAAGTACAAAATCTATACCCGCGATTAGCAGCATTGTCACAAACCAAATTTATTGATTGTGTCAAGTAGAATATAGAGATTTCTTGGCAGAAGGTGTTGAAATCTGGTTTTTGAAAATGTTAGTTAAACCTCAGTTTAAGGCACGTCTCATTGGTACAACTGTTATCAACCAACAACATGCTTTAAAATAACATGAAACGAATATACAAATAAATAAATATCGGTGAAAAACCCAAGTCAATGCATTGTTTATTTATCAAATCCCTAAAAGAGATGAACTTGGAAAATTGAACAGTGGTTACATGAACCTAGAGCTCAAATCGAATGATTTCTTACAAGATCAAGGCGAGATTATCTACAGACCAAAAGATTAGGCATTAATCCAATATGAGAAACGAAGACTCGGGGGTCATTCGTAACCATGAATTGCACGCCCTTTTTAATCCGCTTCCTAAATCATCTAATATTTGTTTCTTTATTTCTCACTTACAGACGAGCTGAAATATGCCTTTGGTCTCGTATCTCAGTATTATTAACATGTGGTTCGTGTACTCACAAAACTTTTCAACAATTTCAAGATTATCTCGCCATTTTTTCTCATCTTATTGAAGTTCAGACCTGATCGATCTGAGTTTGTGAATGGAAATCTTTTCTCACGTTAATCTTCACCAAAGACTTATCCAGAAACATGTTATATATTTTGAAAATTTTATCGACCGACATTTAAACAATATATTTCATGATGGGGCATTTTTAAATACAATTTTCCTAAAAAAAAGCAAAGAGATTTCGGTCATAATGTTCGACTACATATCGGGGTAGTTTTCCATGCATTTGTAAGTAATATTTTAGGGAATATATCAAGATAATGTTGGTTTTAGAAACGTTAAAGATGGGTTTCCTTATTTTTTAGTATCAAATTAAGCAAACTATTTAATTAATAGGTGTTTCTGGTGAATTATTGTGAATTCTCTATCATATCATTAATTTTCTTAAATTGTATGTAATTAAGAGTTTTAATCAATCATAAATGTCCATGTATGACTGTCTGGATAAACAAAAAAAGACTTTTTGACCTTTCTTGATCGGTCACTTTTTGGAATTCTGCTGGAAATTCTCTTCTAATTTAGCTAATTATGAATAAATTATGGACATGTGAGACAAACTCGTATTTTCCAAGTCATTAGAACACCGCTACTTTCTATTCACTTAAGTATTAGTATTTTCGTTTTCATAAATGAAAATAAGGGAACCCATCTTTAAGCATAATTCACATCAGATAACAGATTACCAAATGTATATAAACGTTCATACTGCGACCATTTTTTTCAGTTCTTTTTTCTATCTAATCATTATTTTCAATAGTTATAGATATCATTATAGATTAAATGCAATCGGAGCCGCTTAATAAATTCCCCCATTAACATCTGAATGATTTCTGGGTAAGCATCTGAATGATTTCTGTGAGTTATATCTAAATAATTTCTGGAATTAAAGTGATTGTAAAGAGGTTTACTAAAACCAAATTTGCTATTGATATAAGGACATTTGCGATACTGGTGACATAAAACACATAGTTTAAGAGGAATTGTAAGAGCCACAGACGTCTGATTGAAAATTGAAATGGTGCTCGTATTAGTGCCTAAGGTAAAAAAAATATTTGTCTCGTAATTTTAAAGATAGCTTGCCAGGAAAGGTTACATACGCCCACTGGCAGCTTTGATTTTGAATAAACTTATTTGGCAGCACAGTAACAATTACCAGTATGAATTAATTAACCTTCAGTTATACACTTCTTTTGAACTCTTTGGGGCGATACTGAATAATATTGAGTTAATACCCATGTTCTTGAAAACGTGTTCAATTTTTAGCTCATGAAAACTCTAAAAGGCAAATATTCAATTACTGAATAATAAAACCAAGTTTTGTCAAAATCCGGCAAGAATCATGCCTTTTAGTGTTAAAGAGCTAAAATTTGAGCGCGTTTTCAAGAACAATGTTCATTCATGGGTGATAATAAACAATTTCACAAATTTTCGTCAAAATCTGAGTTGCGACTTCAAGAGTGTTTACGAGATAAAAATTGAACTCTTTCTCAAGAACAGGGGCAATAACTCATACTAAATATTTTCAATTTTTCTGATTTTCCATTGGGTTTATCCGCTGGTGGTAACAAACACTCATGCCAAGTTTCGTTGAAGTCCGTCAAGAATTCTGTCTTCTGGAGTGGTCAAGAGCTAAAAATTTAACGCGTTCTCAAGAACAGGGGCAGTAACTCCTTTAGGTTATAACGAACACTCAAACCATGTTTCGTCAAAATTCGTGAAGAATTGTGCCATCGAGAAAGTTTACAAGCTAAAAATTGAACACGTTTTCAAGAACAAGGGCAATAACTCATACTAAGTATTTTTCAATTTTTCTGATTTTCAATTGGGTTTATCCTTGGGGTATAACAAACATTAATGAAAAGTTTCGTCAAAATCCATCAAGAATTGTGTCCTCTAGAGTGTTTACGAGTTAAAAATTTGACATGTTTTCAAAAACAAGGGCAATACTGATACTTACTATTTTTCGATTTTTCTGATTTTCAATAGGGTTCATCCTTAGGTGATTACGAACAATTATACAAAGTTTTGTCAAAATCCGTCAAGAATTGTCTTGTAGAGTGTTTACGAGCAATTGTGGACGGACCGACAGACATGGGTGACCCATCTATTTACAGTATGTTAAAAGGTTGGAGTAACACGGATTTATTTGATTTTAAACAAACAGAAACAAAAATATATATTTGAACATTCTATTAACATAATATGCCATCATAAATACAATAACTGGTCATTTATTCTACATGTATTATGAAATTAAGAACCTACTTTATAACTTGTTGTACAGTCAACCAAAGATGTTTATGTGTAAATGCAAAAACTAAATACAAGAAGATAATATTCCAATAAGTTGCGTATCTTCTATGATATAGACATATATATATTTTGATAAATATTAGAGTGAGAAAAACCACAAAGAACACCTACTGTTTTTAACTATACAAAATACAAACATTTCTATAAAAATACAAATAACAACCACAGTATATAGTCCAGCAGTTTCATTCATTAATACTTCAATAAATATATTATTAGACAAACAAACATGATATCAAGTCTTATATAGACCATCTGATTTAAAATCATTAACTTAACATAACAGAAATCACAGCATTCTGAAAACAAACTTATTTCAACCATAAAATCAAATATCAGTTTCACAATCAAAGGTATACTACCTCTAAGGATGATCACAAAATTGGAATTTTTAACATGGCCAAAACGAGTCTATGTTCATAAGTGGATTAACTATACAACAGAATCCCTGTATAATCCAATAAATCCATGGAACTAATTAATAATTCATTAAACTAAGTAATCTTGAAAAAAGCTTAGGTTTTTTTTTAATAATTCATTAGTTTTATGGATATATCTTCTTATATAGAGATGCTATTATTTAGTCATGACACCTGACTGATGATATCCATCTGATGAATATATACACTTGATGACCAAGTTTGAGACTTTTTTCCATTCTAAGAGGTAGTGTCCCTTTAAAGACAATTAAATCATATAAATAATGACTGTATGTTTGATTACTGGAATGCATATTAGAACTTCATTTCATATGAAAAGAAAGAAATTAAGAAAAATCTATATTTTACAAGGATAACAATTTTCCCGGATTATCAGTATCCATTTACAGCTGGGTCAACTAGAATTATTTGCTCTAAGTAACCAAGCAAATGATGTCTTGACTGTAAAGAACAAATGCTCTGACTGACTGTAATTTATAATTCATAAAAAGAAATGTCAAATAAGACTCGTTGTACAGTAAAAATAAATAGGTTTTAAAAAAAGAGAAAATAAAAATTCTATATTCCAGATGAAAAATTAAATTTGATGAAGATCATAATTATTTGATTTTCTTCTCCTACAGGGTAACAACCAACATAAAATAGCATTTCTACCAAATAATTCTTTATAGGCTGTCAATGTACTTCTTATTGTTATACTGGAAATAGACCATATATCATCATTAATCATGAAATATCTCTTGACAAAACGGAAGAGGAAGTTCAAGGTCGTATGGAAGCGAGGTGCGGGTACAGTCATGTATGAGTGAGGCTGAGGTCAAAGGTGAGGTTTTTCTTTGAAGATTACCGTTATGTCAGAATAAGTATTATCTGATATCATAAATATTAGATTTATGTAAAATTGATTTTAGTTATTGAATAATGAGATGATTGGGACACTTAAAGTCGACATTAGTTTAGTTTTCGAGAATACAGCTCACATAAAAATGGTTTTGAAGAAGAGTAAGCATGCCCTTTTAATAATAACCATTACCATTTCCAATAATGGCTTTGAGTTTCACAAAGTGTCAAGACAACATCACATAGATCAAAAAAAGATATTTCTGCTCATCCAGGTCGGATTCAAAAATTGAACACGAGCAGTCAGTTAGTCAGTTTTAGTTGTAATCAACATATTATAAGTTTAGTCTGCATAGTTCTATACAATCTATTCTACCTAAAAATAAAGTGAACTGCCTGTGTTTATGTTTTGAATCAGAAATATCTTTGCTTGACTGTAGTTTACTATCCAATAACAAAGGCTGTTGTCTTCAAAGGGAAATAATCTTTTTTATATATTAAACGCTTCATGAATAGCTCAGAAATTTTTGTAACTGTTGTATTGCAGGAAAAAATATGAAGTATGAATTACTCACCCATCTTCTGGTGTACCTTGAAGATTTTGCAAAGTTGTTCTATCCTGTAAATTAATTATATTATAGCATAAGAAAACTATGAAAATCCGTCAGTCCAGGATATTGCTGAAATCTTAAATAAGGATACGCTTTTTGCTGCAGTTAAAAAATGGAGTCCCAGAGATACATAGATGTGGAAATTTGTTCAAATTATCTGTTATGATTATCAAACACTACTTAGGCCACATTTTTTTTATCAAGTGGTTTATGGACCGTCTTTATTTCTAAAAAAAATAATTAATAACACATACTTACAATTAATAAATTAAAATGCGTCCCGAATAATTGAAGTCCCATGACTAAGAACATATTTAAACCTAATGCTGTCAATATATACATAAACCAGATACTATGTTTGATATAAAACACTTCCTACAAAATATAAAAAAAAAAGTTAAAACTTTAATTAGTGAGATGGAAAGGAGGGGACAAGTGGGGAGCGTTGATCTGTTATTAGCTTTAATTGAGTGCCACATTGAAGCGGGTGCCACATTAATGTCGAAACTTATCTTATAATCTTTAACCCTGTGCCAGTGCCTTCTGTTGAATAATGACTAGTTGTTTATCAATAGTAACAGGTTTCTTTTCAACCTAATCTCTAATAATTTGTTGGTTAGGGTTTTTACAACACATTTGCTATAGAAGTTCAGTTGTACTCTGATAAATACTTTCAGGCTCCAACAAGCAGGCATTGACAAAATTTCAACCATGAACCCTGTTGAAACTATTCAATGTCAAAAGTAACTTACCCTATCACAGGAGATGCATCGTGGTAAAACCCAGAAATGTAACATTGACAGAATGAATGATAATAAACCAAACATGAAGGCATACAACAATAACAAAGCAAAGGCATAATGATTAGCTTCACCCACACAGTTGTTGATCCTGAAATTTAATAAATAATAATAAATACCGGTATATAATACAAAGGTATTCAGTTTGATTAAAGTGATACTACGTCTTAGAATGAACATAAAATTTAAGTTCTCGAAATGTTCAATATGAGTATATATTCATCAGTGAACTTACCTGGTGTCATAAAGTTACAACAGAATCCCTGTAAAATCTAGAAAATTGGAAAATTCATAAAACTAGGTAATTATTGAAAAACGCTTAATGGTAATATTAAGCGTTTTCAATAGTTAATTGCATATTTATGGATAAGTTTTTTGGATTTATCGGATTATATAAGGATCCTGTTATATTATTTATGACACCAGGTATATCTACTGATGAATAAATGCTCTTATTGGCCATGTTTAAAATTCTTAAAGTTTATGTTCATTCTAAGACATAGTATTACTTTAAATTATGAGAATAGTGAGTCAATACAATTCTGACAAACTAAAGATCAGACTTAGTGAGAGAATAACTGAACTTTTTTAAGTGCTTGATCATGAGAAAAATGAACAGGGTGAAAAGTAAAATGCAGGAAATGCAATGTTTTAAAATGATGAAATTTCAGACAAAGAATTGATGTATCAAATTTACTCTGTTAGATAATAAAAAGTGCTAAACTGTGAACTAAATTTGCAGCAAATCCTGCCACTTAATTCCTACAACACTGTTGAAGAATTAGAACTAACCATGGACAATGATGATCCATCTTCGCCACACACTGTCTACATCTTCTACAATGATGAGCTCTAAATGGTCTTTTTCGTTGACAAATGTTGCAGTATGTCCAGGAATCATCCACTACAAACAAGATCACTTTCAAGATAAATATTGACTTGAGACAGTTAACTGTTTTACTACTCAATTATTTATATGAATGCTTTTGCAAGTACCAGACTTTGAATTCAAATTTCTAAAGTCCCACAATGCAAATATCAATACTAAAAATATAAATAAAACCATGAAGAATCTAATTGCCTTACCTAAAGCCTGAATTTGACTTTCAGCAGGGATTGTTCCTGGATTCATTGTGCTGGCACGAATTAATGATGATAAACAAAGAAAGGCAATGGCTAAAAAAACTGAAAAATAAAAAATTTATAGTATCTTTAATTTGCAAAACTTGAGCTTAGAATCTCAATAATCAAATATGAGTTATTCCTTTCCATTGGGTACCTCTTAGAAAAATCATATAGCCGTTGGCCTTTGTCAAGTTTCTTCTTAATTTGGTTTCTATTTGCAGGAAGGGACTAATTCTACTGATCTAGAGCTGATACTTACAGTATATCAATATAGATGAAATCAGACCATCATTATAGGCAGGGATTAAAACTATAAATAAAGTGGTAAATGTTCCATATAACCAGTACAAATAAACACACAACAATGATATCATTCCATTTTTATCTTTGATACATCTAACACGACCAATTATAGGAACATTAATATATTTATAGCTGTCATTCTGATGATCTAAAACTGCTGAAGGTGGTCTATTGGAATGGCTTGAAGCAAACATGCTCATATCAACAGGAACCTTGGCTGTTCCATATAGATCCATTTTCATTTACACAGTTGGCCTATCTAGAAAGTATTGAAACTGCCATTCTGTAAGAAAAGAGAAAATGATTGATAAATGAAACATTGATTTATCATATGAAGATTAAGCCACTCAACTTCTAAACCTAAGGGGTTTCACTCAAGATTTGCAAATTCCATGTAAGGTAAGAAAGATGAACATCAAGTTGACAATATTGAAATATTCAATACTTGAGTACCCTACCAAAAATTTCATGTGAAAAAGTTTACCGTAACCGTAATAAGAAACAAGAATTTATCCAGGACTGAAAAATAAATAAATAAAATTTTGTTTTCCTTGCTTGAATTTTGCTTATGAGAGTTATGCCCCTTATGGAATATATCTTTTCAAGTTTTCGTATCTTTCAAGATTTTTATTATAGAAAAGGAAGCATTTAATGTTTAGATTGAAGTATTTTAATCAACTGATGCTTCCATATAGACAGTTCATAATTATCAAAATTTTCGATTATACGAAAATGACACTTCATGACAAATCCTAGTTAAAATGGCGTCTAAATCTGACATCGACGTGGAGCTTGGCTTAAATGTAATTTATTTTTTCAATTCAAACAAAAATTCTTTCATAACTTAGCTTTACAGTTAAGTAATACTTAAATCAGACAGTTTTTTTTTTAGATTTACCTGGCTAATATTTGTAGGTCAGTCGTGTCAAGTTTTACTCTGTACTTATAGCAGACGATTTTTTCAATTTTTGGTAATGTTTTGAATGAAAAGATATTATTTCTTACCTTTTGTTTTAGATCAAATTGATTTTCTCAACCAAATATGAAACTAAATGTAATATAAGAACTTCTGATTATTTGATTCTTGAAGTGTGCAACTGTAGGGTTCATATTCAGATGTATTTTTGTTGACTTTGGCGAGAGAATACAGTCGCAGATCAGCTAGGTTATGTTAACATTGTCTTTAAATTGGATTGATAATTTATGTTTTCTACTAACATTTAATATGAGCGAAAGACAGCCAGAATATTAAAGACCAACTATATAGTGCATAGTAAATTGTTCCCCATATTCTCTTAAATTTTGTTAGACAAGGTTTACTTATTGAATAAGTTATTCTTAAAATAATCATTATTAAATGTCACGAAACATTAAATTTAATTTATTGTAGTCCTGCAACATCTGTTATATATTGGTTTGGTGGGTGGTCCCCTTTTTGTATTAGAAATGAAACAAACTCTGGTATATTAACAAGACGTGGACGAATTTTGAAATAATCTGGTTTTTGTTTTTATTTTATGGTTTAAAAAGTATTCACTTGTTATCATTGCAGGAAGAAAAAAAGAGCAAAGATGAACTCCATTTTCAAGGTTTGTCATTCTGAGTTTAGATGATTTTGGTTTAATTTGAACACAATGGACATGATAATAGTTGATTATTTTGGAAACAAAATTCCATGGATTGTCCTCAGAAGAAAATTGTGTACTTTATGAGGACTTTTTATATTTTGTAGATTTTCCATTGGAAGAAGATGAATTAGATACAAGTGATGGCCAAACACATAAATTTACAAATTTTCCTCATACAGCTGATTCTGATGAAGATATTTCAGACAAGTCTGAGGTATAAAGCAACTTTTTCTTTTGTTAAGAGAAACACATATCAAATGGATGCTATTATAGAACTAAAAAATAGAAAGAATGAGCTTAATCATGAAATAAACACATGATGACAAGTCTGGATATATTTTGATATAGCAGGCTTTGCATGAGAAATCATATTCAAGATATGCTTAAGGAGTAAATGCAATTATAACTGTACAAAGATATTTATTGTACTTTTGGAGACAATTTGACAAGTTTATTTTGAAATAGCTAGTGTATGATAAATAGTAAATTTTTATTCATTTTTTATTTCTGCTTTGATGGAAATTGAAAACGTCCAATATTTTCAACACACTATATGTTTGCATTATTTCAATTTATTTCTTCAGTTATTAAAAGATGACAAGGCCATCACCTCCTTTTGGAAGTTTGAGTATTACCAACAGTTTTTTGATGTTGATTCTAAACAAGTGTTTCACAGAGTTGCTGGTTCTATGTTACCCTTACCTAATAGGAATTATTTAGTCACACACATCAGACCCAATCCAGATCTCTATGGTAAATATTATAATTCATCAAAAACTGCTTGAAATTCAGAGCAGAGTTTGTTTTGAATTCAAAATTGAACTACTCTAATGACTTTCTACAGCTTTATAGATTATGACCTTTTATTTAATATAACTCAGCTAAACATTTCATACTCCATGGAAAAAAAGGCACAGCTATTTGTTGGTGTCAGACAGGGTATGTTTACTCTTCCAAGATACCTGATACCAGTTCATTAGAGTTGTCATTAAATTATGCGTTTGACCGACATTGAAAGCCATGTAATGGCTAATCTATACTTTGATGTCTGATAGAGGATATTGACCGTTTCAGGACATTTCAGCAGCCCCATCGTTCATGTCTAGCATATAGAGCCAAATCAACATCCCAGTACCAGTTACATAATGAAGTACTTCTTCATTTAAGATCGATATAATAATGTATTGCCAACCTTTTATTTCAAGTGTTCTTTTTGGATTGGATGTATTTTTATTAATACTATATTTAATACTTCTATATTGAATTAATAAAGGCAGGATCAAAGAACTACTTTTTACTTTCAGGACCATTTTGGATTTGTTTAACATTAGTTTTTACCACAGCTATAGCTGGAAATCTGGCCAACTATCTTCAATCTGCTTCTGTTAATTATGTGTGGAAATATGATTTTCATAAAGGTGTAGTGAATATTTATCATAATGTAATGAATTCTTTCCATCAGCTCATTAGAATAATGTTACCAATCTGAACTTATGTAGATCTGAATAATGAGAAAAAATTATAATTCCTCCAAGTGCAGTAAATGTATTCATTCCCCTTGATTATTCGTAGAAATAGGCTCTTTTATTTCCCCAATGACAATGTATATTCAATGTTATATAAAGCATCTTGACCAATAGTCTGTGATTGATTTGTTTTATACCATTTGATGTCCGATGAATTCTTGTCAAAAACAGACAAAGTTGGTTTGCTGGTTGTGTCCGTGATATACAGTCAAACGACATCCCCCAGTGACCTAGGCAGGTGCTTGTTCTGACTTATTCTCATCTCACATTACCACTTGATTTCTAATGTATTTCAGTGTCCCTAGCTGCTACTGCTATATTTAGTTATTGGTGGTTAATACCATTGTTTTTATATGGTATACTGTGGTGGAGAGGCAACCAGACATCAGTTCGATATACATTCCTGGAGATTATTTGTGTCTATGGTTATTCTCTGGCTATTTATATTCCAATATCAGTAAGTAATGTTTCCAAACCTGCATATGATTGGATTATTGAAGACAGTCCAAACATTAAAAGGACAGGTGTGCCATCAATGGCGCATCTGTCCCTTTAAAAAGGGGTCTAAATATTTTACCATTTTTTATCAGTATTTTTATTTACCACAATTTCACTTAAATCAATGTCATAATATTGGTAATATTGGTGAATTCTAACTAATATGAAACATTTTGGTCTTGGCAATCTTTCAACACAACAGTTGTATGACTATTTTGAATATTCAAAATAGCTGATATTGAACGTATTTCATAAGTTAGATACAATGTTTTTTTTTGTGTGTATAGATATTATGGGTAATACAAGTGAACTGGTTACAATGGATACTAGTTATAATAGGAGCTGTATTATCTGGTAGTGTATTGATTATAACATTCTGGCCTGCTGTTAAAGATGATACCAAACATGTAAGTCTAATTTTAGTACATTGTTTGTTAGTTTGGGTCTGAATTGATTGTGTTTCACAATGACTTAACTCAGGAATATTTTGGAAACAAAGTCAACTGATTTTAAATCTTATTAAATTGTTCAGTCAGATTTCTGTCCTTTTGTAATATTGGTTACCTTGTTTTGTTTAGGTTTTTGTTCATACAGTGACAAATATCACCTCGTCAAAATTAGATTAAATCTCTGATCACAGGAGTGTTTGATATGAATAATAACTTTAGAAATTTATAACATTATCTTTCTACCACCTAGATAAGATCTTAAGACATGTTTATTGTTATATTTCAGGTGGCACTGACAATTTTGGCAGTGATATTTATTTTCCATGCTGCTTTAGCCATTGGTTTTGTGGTAAGTTTCCTCTGACAAAAAAAAATCACAAAAAAGAAGTTGAGGAGGGTTTCATTTTGTGTTATTTTTATGGACGTATATCTATATTCTAATCATACAGCGACATTAGTATAGTAAGTTGTAGGTTTGAATATGTGGTTATTGAAACTAGTCAGTGAAAAGGGAGATAATCAACAATGTACTAGTAGTAGAGATTAGGGTGATTGAAAGTAACAAGTTACTGTTCAATATAATGCGCTGGCTCATGGTTAAAGTTTTGTTTATTTGTATTGTAATATTTAGTAAAATGAGCAGAAGGAAGTAATTTGGAAAGGTTATTGTAGGCCTACATTTTAAACCTTGGACCTAGTAGTAGAGTATATTAGAATAGAGTTGAGGTATTAATAGACATTATTCAAATTGTGGACTGTCTAGAGATAAAATGGCTTTAAATTTTTTTTTTCTATTTCAGTTGTATTTTTTTCACGTTCCGGCTGCAACATCGAGTGTCCCATCATCGACCATTTCCCCCGTTAACACAACAACAAAAGTATTCAATAATCTTCATTCAAGAACAAACACTCAGCAACACGACTCAAATCCAGCTCCAGTAAATGCCATAGCAAGTGGGGATAATTTGCCCTCAAAGAATAAAACAGGAACTGGAACAAATATTTCAAATAAGCCATCTTCAGTGAAGTCAACATCATTAGTTAAACCTGAAGGAACAAAAATCCATGATCGGCTGGTTAATTCTAATAGTGTAAATGGACAAAGACATTTAGTTCATATTACTGCAAAAGCAAGATCTGTATGATTTTTATTGGGGAATGTGACAGTGGTTGTGTGGATCTTAATTAACAGTGGGGTTAAATTATTGGACTAAGGATTATTGGTTTCCAGATTTTTTTGATTATTTATTTCAAATCCTAAATCCACTTAGCTGTTTACAGCTTTCAAAAAAACATTAATTCTGAATTCTGAAACTTAAATAGGTTTTATATAAAAATGTTAATTTGGATTTAAAGTCAAATTTTATAAATAGATTAAAAAAAAAATCCATAAAATTTGAATTAACCAAGGAGTTTGTTCCTAGAAGCTATAGAATTTGTTTTTGCTATATTGACATACTGTGATAGCTAACATTTTGATTATCTTATATGAATATATGGGGTGTTTTGTAAGTAAGCTGGATTATTATCAATTAACATAGGTTGTTTAACAGAATAAGAATCAGAGTTATACCTGTACATGTATATAACTTGTTAACTTTGACCAAGTCAAACCGTGGGGTTCAATCTTTGCTTATTTGTGTATTATTTTCTGTTAATTGTAAATATTTATTTGTTTTGTTATTAAAAGCTGAAAGTCTATAGAGGGCCTGCTCTATTTGTATGAAATATATCCTGTCCTTTTTTTTATTTGATAAAAAAGTAACATTAATGAGGTGAACGGTGAAGTTGACTTCAGATATCAGATAAATCTTTTGGAGAATGTTGGGTTGGATGGTTATTTAAGGGTCAGAAAGTTTGATTTCATCTTACACGTGGAGTGACATGAATAAATTTGCTGTGGAATTATTTTTGAATTAATGACTTTGAAATTCATATTAAATGAGTCAGCATTGCATGAACTGTGTAAAAAAGTCAGAAGATAGCTTGCCACGCAAAGAAAACTATGACAGCAGTTTCCAAATTCTCATCAATTGATAAAAATTGGGAGAAACTCTTAACTAGCCGTAAAAATGATTATGAACCTGTCAAAGGGATAAACATTCAGAAATTGTCACATTGTAAAATACTAAGAAGATTACAATATAGTATGTCAAATGATATGTCATAATTTAAGTAGGTTATTGTCATATATGAAAAAGAGGTAAACAAACTTTAGCTACGTGTTATTTTATTAGCATTAACATATCTTAAAAATTAAAAATATAAAATCTCTAAATAAACAAAATACCACTAACAATTTTGAAAATTATTACAGAAACAAAATTTGAAAATTCAGCACGAGCAAATTAAATAATTATGTTGTCTACATATTAGACTTGTAAGCTGCTGCCATCAACAGTCACTGTTGACCTTTGGAGCACTGTTGACCTTTGGAGCACTGTTGACCTATGGATCACTGTTGACCTATGGAATCTGCCGTCATTTTTGTTGTTTGATTGACTGCTGAGGTGGAAGGGCAGATTGATGATGGACAAGAAGTCATTGTGATAAATAGTACACCACTTGTTGTTACCGAAAATCAATATATGAATGACTTATTTTTCGAAAACAAATTTCCCAAAACACAATGTTTGCCTTTCTTTATTTCAGCCTAAAGTTTAAAGTATTTCATCTCATTAATTTCTACTTTATATTGGAAAACTGCATGAAGCAGTAGTAGTAAACTGAAGTCAAGTAAAGTCAAGAGTCTAGCAGCTTAGCAGACTTAGCAGATATCTCGACTTGCTTACAGGTTTATTACATATCTTAAATTGCAAAATTTAAATATTTAAATAGACAATAGCACTAAAAACCTTTGAAATGAAAAAAAGTTATTAAACCTTCAAATATTGAAGATACGGAAAATATAAAAAATAATAATTTTACTTTCATTGGTTATATTCAAGTAATCCCATGACCTCAAATAGTTAATTTGCTAAATAAGCAAAATAAAATAAAAAATCGGACTAAAACGCTCAATTCGGTCATCATCTGGTCATTTATCTGCTAATGGTATGATGATGATGGCACCAATGATGTTTCCAGACTGTCACGGTAGATCTTTGAATTCCTGATAAAGTTTGATATTCCAAAACTTCACTCTCAATACAGGAAAGACTAGAAAGAACAAACAAATACTATAAGATAATAGAACAAGAACAATGTTTCGTGTCAAAATATATATATACTCCAATGAAATGGATGAAAATCCGTGCAAGGAAGACAATTCTGTTAATCAAAATCTCTTTCAAAGCATGGCAAAAACGAGGGTAAAAGTTGTATAGTTGTGGACTCATAGAGAACATCATGCACAAAAGACAGGTTTCAAATGATTAAACATCGTGGTTTTTATTCACAAAAAGCTCAGAAGCCATTTTGTTGAGATGCATAAATCATTTAAATCATGCTGAAAAACGATACCCACTAGACATTACAAAGGATCCAACAAATACATGTATAATGTAACTTACTTGGGTGACAGAATAGGAAGCAAGTCATTCTCTTTCCATTGATTATCCATAGAAAATATCACAACGATACCAGTCATTTTAACAATTTCCCACAGTCTTAGCAGCCAGGCTATAAAATCAAAATAAAAGTTTAATATTCTATAATTAAACTGGAATATTAAATTTACTATAAAGCAACACCAGATTTGCCCCTATTGCTTTCATATAATTATAGCATGATCAATTCGATTTGGAAATAATCCTAGACTATCTATAACTGAAATCGAAAATCATGCCAGTCCATATACACTTCCTATGTTCCTAGTAAGCATGTACAATAGAGCATCTAGCTTTTGTGTGGATTTATACTAGTATATTAGGCGAAATTTCGTTACAATACTTTCAAGTAATGGTAAACAATATCAAAAGGATTATTATTACGAATCAAACAAAATTTTCATGTTAGATTTTGAAAGTGGTTTTTGGCATATAAAATGTTACCTTTCGGATTTTGTAGTCTATGTAGATTAGTCATTAAAATCAAATCATGAGCAACAATTTCATTGGCAATCCATGTCAGCTGGAAATAAAAGTATTCCCGTTACCCATATCTCCCAATGACTTTTATCATACATTTGAAACTATCTTAAAAGAACGACAGCTTTCAAAAAGAAAGCGTTGATATGAAATTTTAAAATGATAATCGAATAGTCTTGTTCTACCTGCTTAAAGCAAACATTATCAGTTTGTAATTCTTGGTCCAATAGAAACTCCTTTTCATCTCCAGTAGGTGAAGTTATTGAAAGACGACGGGTTTCTTGTAATGTGGTTGCCGCCTGGATATACCGAGCGAATGCATCTACACCCAAAACCTACAATACAAACAGAAAGAATTACAGACTGATATACTTAAGCATGTGATAATTCACTGAAACTGAAAAAGATCAATTGAACAGCTCTCGATTTAAGTCCGATGTCGGTACAGATAAGCGACGTCAAGTTCAGTACTTCAAACATTGGATAATGCACGATTACCTATCCCAATTAGGCAGGATTCGGGAAATCGTAATTGTAGAAGAATAACATTTCATACTGAAGAATGCCGTGGATAGCTTACAGTAACGCAGTTGTAGCCATCATAAATGATATAATTAAATACATTGCCAAAATTATAAAACCAACAAAACAATTGGCACAATTACTATACGTAAATCAAGTAAAAGTGCATGTCAATTAAGTGATCAAGAAAATAAGCAACGCAAAAATTATACAAGTACTGTCAGAGCAAGATGACAAAGATAAAAAAAAATACAGGAATAAAACGTACGGTGTCATAATATTTCTTCAATATAAAAACAATTTTTCCGGCACCTGAGCCAAAAACAGCACAGTTGCCTTTTCCTGAGTTATATTTATTGCCCATAATAAGACAATACTCCGATAGCATCTCAGGATATCCTTCCCGAATTCCAAACTCCAATTGTAAGATTCCATACAACGCCGCATCTGTATCAATAGTATACTGGTAATTGGTAGAGTCTACTTTCTTAAATCCAGTTTTGGTTTCATCCAAGCCAATGGAATTGCCTAAAAGGTTTTACAAAAGATTGTAAGTTCAAAGAATTTTTTTTGTTTTCTGGTAATAAAGCATAATTGAAGTTTTAACCATCAATACAGGCTACGTCTGTCATTTCTTTGGATGATTACAGGAATTGTAAAGAGATTTTTATGTGTATCGGGGACACTGATAGCAGCAATTTGCACCAACCAAGCCAAATTCACTACTGCAAAGGAAACTTCATGCCACTCGTTTTCTGCGTAAGAGTCACGCAATTTAATCTTTTTTCTGTTCCTTTCTGGGATCACTGTATGATAGCTCATGTTGGTTTAAAAACAAACCTGGGCTATCACTAACACTGAGAAGCAGTGCAACAGTGCCCTATGTGACTAGCAGCCACGAAAAACAAATCATCAAGCTGTTGTGTTGGGAGTATCTTGACCGAAACGTTCGAGCACGCTCAACGTTCCAAGTGCGTCCCATCATTATAATAAGAGGTCGACTGAAGCGCCTTTAAGGACCCTAATGTCTGGAAACCAGATAAAAATATTGTTCTTCGAATAAAATTGAAATAATCTAACCACACTTCAAATATTAGATGAAAACTGGTAAAAAAAACCCCCTTATATTATCTGGAATTCCAGCAGGCCTTCAAAATAGCTATAAAAATGGTTGAATGTTGGTGAGGATTATGTGACTAACGAGGACATAAAACGCCATCTGATGATTAACCGTAGAGTTATCTCGAGGAGGCATCTTGCCAAGAGGGGCGTACTCCCCCATACCGCTCTACTGTTGCATGACATGGATCTAGAGAAATTGCCGTATCAGAAGTGCTATATCTAATGATGCTTTTGTTAGTTTAAACTAAGCTATACCTGTAACCCCCTCTCCAAGAACAAATACATCAGTTGTAACAATTCTTATTGGTAGCTCAATCTTATTCTCGTCCAGATTTCTTACGGTACGGAATCCAGCGAACTGAACAAAGTGTGGACGGAATGCATATCTGGCAAATCTAGAAGCCTCATTACCAGTGGAGATCCACGACCCTCCCTACAAAAATAAGTGTTATAAATTTTGCGACCCTATTACAACGAATATCGTATAAAATGTAAACCAAAGAAAGATTCTTTTGAATGTACAAGAATTGATACTTTTTAAAAAAAAAATATTCCATCCCTTGTTTGCAAGAGTGGATTTATCCCAGAATAACTGGTGTTTTAGCCCAAAAATCTCCGCTGAACGAATAGTGTACAGCGATTAACACATGTAATTACGTTTTGTCAATAACTGGCCTATATAGCTATATTATGTAGAAGAAAAGTAAGCAACTTTCGAGCATGAGAGAATCATTAAAAATATTACCAAAATTAAATGATGTTTGCCATCAAAAGTAGGTGTTGAGAAATCGTCATAGAAGTGATGACTTTTAAAATTCTCGAAACCATTAAAATGATCTTCATTCCATTCCCAGACATTACCCATTATATCGTACAATCCTACTGTGTTTGGTTTGTACAAGTTAACAGGCTGTAATATGAAATCTTAGAATAATAAAACGTTCGAATAATGGAAGTATGGAATCCATGGACAGTCCGTTTCTTCTTATGCTTCTAGTTGAAACTCTTGGCGTGACAACTTGTGGTAAACCAGCAAATCGTCTTTGATTAAGGGATCTGAAACGGGGTCTGGAGTGCAAATAGTTGTTACCACCGTGATTATGGTCTTACCGTGGATGATCCATACTGTAAATTTAAATTAGCTGATATTGTGTCCTGGTGTATCATGTCACACTCCGTGCCCACAGCTGGTGATTTCTGAAATAGAATAATGCAGTCATGGGGATGGGATGTGTGAATTTGCTAAAGATTTCTTCAGCAGTGACGTACCCAACAACCCCCATCACCCTTCGCCCCGGCTTTGGCCTCCCTACTTTTTATCATTAGCCTTTGGACCCCCTCAAACCCTACCTCAGGATTATTTTGTGGTCCTTCACCAAATGTTTCCTAGAAACGCCACTGGGTAACAGCTCGCTTGACGGACCATATATTTTGTTATATAAAAAAGACATAATTGTTAATGATAGGTCTATCTCTATGTAAGCATTGAACGGATATTTGTAGTCAGATGTTTACTATGCATAATCAGATTGTTGTGTATGTAGGACCATCTTGCACATTCTTACCTGAGGGCCTCTCATCACGTGTTGCTCAGCTTCCGCAGGAAGTCTATAGCCACTTCCTTTCCAGGCACAGAATGCTTTAGCTTCATGGTAGGTCACTTCCACAGGCCAATCTAGTGGCAATTCTATGTTATCAAACATCACTCGATATCTGTTGTAAAAGTCATCAAAATACTTTGTTACTGGGTATCATAGAGCATTTTTTATATCGGACCTTCCTGGATACTGAAACCATGGTTTTGTCAGTTGTTTTTATCATTAGCTATCTGGCTAAAGTGTGTACAGGAGTACAATTGCGTACTAAAGCTACTACAGTGACAAGAGATTCATTTGCTGGCAATATTGAAAACGCAAAACGTTGCAATTCCGATCGATGGTATGGTACAACAGAAAAAGAGCTATATAATCTTTAATACAATATGAAGGCAAAACAATTCGAATAGTACCTAAATGAAGGAGAACCAAGTTCATCATCAATAACATAACCATTGTTATTATCAACAGCTTCACAATGAGAAATAGTCGAGAGGTTTGATCCACATCCATTATTACATCCTAAAAGATTAGATCAATAAGGTAAAGAAAGCAAACTCTGGTAAAGACATAATAGAGAATTCACATTCACAAAAACTCTGTGAAGGACATTGTTATTGGTATATTCCCAATTGATATAATCTTTGCACTTTTCAGTCAACCCTTGTACCAAGTGCCCCCCGGTGTTTATACAGTATTCAGATTTATTTTATTAAATGACCATAAAAGTTTAAAGCGTACATGAAATCTGTCATATTGCAATACCTTTAGTACAAACCCAGAAAACAGGGTGTACCAGTTGTCTAAACTCTTTCCATTGCCACCCTTTTTGACTCCACAATCCCTTTCTATTGTAACCTCCATCTTTAACAAACTCCAAATATTCACCATTGGTTATCATGAATTTAGAAGCTTCAAAAGCAGGGACACTGAAATAAGATGATCGGTTTGTCAAATGCGTAGCTTTCCGTTTGGCCATTCCTAATCTTATTAGTTGGTAAATTCGTTCCCTCTGAAATGCCGCTCTTATTTGGTCATTTGTTAGATCAAATTGTGTACAATCGGCAGGATGACAATTGACTCATTTCAGAATACTATTTTTTTACTAGTCAGATGTGTTTCAATCCCTTTACGAGAAGGAGACAAGCTAGAAGAAGTAGTGAAAGAAAATTACTGGCAAGTAACTTGACCATATTCATTATCCCAGCCGTAAGAAGGAAAATCTTCAGGTTTACCCATCGTCACGTCAGTAGCATTAATATAATGCATATTGGTGTTACCATTAACCCCTTTATCTGAAATAACTCGAAAATCTGTGGATATTCAAAGGCAGTACGCATACATGAGGAAATAAACCTTGAGATTATAAACTATTGGTGATAACAGCCCCCTCCTCCCACACACACTAAAAAAACTGCTATTTCGATTTCCACTGATCTCGGTAGGAGTGCTGCAAACATTGAAGATAGATATCAAACACTTTAGGAGAACTACATTTCGTACGCCACACATTAGACTGATCTGAATTCTTTTCGACCACAATTAATAGCAAGTTCTCAATGATTGAGAGATAAAACGTACCATGTTTCACTGGAGCATACATCCAAGCAGATGGTTTGGTAACCATATCGACCGGAAGTTGACGAATTAGAACTGCTGAAGTTTCTAGGTGAATTCTCTCATGTTCCATTCCCATCACCAAAGCCCACTGTTGAAAGAGATACGAAATGGATAAGAGTTCATCCTTTTTACAGCACTAACAAAGATATCACAATGGATTGTATGGTGACAACACTCTCTTGGGATTCAATTAGCCTATAGGCATATTGCTGCTATGTTTTTTCATTTATGCCCATGTAAGCTTGCAAAAACCAAATGCCAATTTGCTAATCATAACGTCACTAACAGCTCGACCACCACTTACGGCTCTAACGTGAGCATTCATTGGCCCTTTACAAATAGAGATAGGCCTAGGACATGAAAAGGATAAAAAAAATGTACTTACCCAAGGGCTTTCCATATTAATAGGAAGCTCTAGAGGTGTCTTCTCTATTATATTGGTGATGATGTTCCTTACTTGTCGACGATAATCAACAACTGATTCTATAGTTGGCCATTTATAACTTCCTCCCATACGATAGTTCTCCTGAAACCGTGAAATTGTTAGACAACTTCAGTAACTAAGTGAGCATCCACTATTACGCTTCGAAGGAACTGACTCTCGGCATTCCATCCTTTTAAACTGTCATACAATGTGGGTGAAGGTGGCAAAATCAACGTTAACGCTAAAGCTGATTATACGAGGTGTACGGTTCGGGATTTTCAGTACCATAGAAAGTATGTTAAGTAAGTAAATTATCTTTGAAATGTCACTATTTTTCAGATATATGTAAAATTGATTTTAAGCGTAAATAATTAGAGAAAAGTGGCATTTTCTGCTTTTTTCTTACGAACCACACCACCTTAAGATGAAAATAGAGGGCTGAACGGACTTTTATTATTTTTTTGGAATCGCAACACAAAGCAATTAGCTTACAGTATCATCCCAAGACATTTCATCAACTCCAGTTTCAAACATGGTTTCAAATTCCAGATTAACTCTCGTCTAGAAAAATAGATAGAATAACATAATAATCCTTGAAAATAAACCAAATTACATCTTTAGTACTATATACCTATATATTGTAGGGTTAAGGTTAGGGTTATTATTGTCTGATGATCTGAAACTCTGAGAAATAACAATATTTTAGGTTCTGTTTTAAAATTTCTAAAAACAGCTTCAACAGATTCTTCCGCATAGGATTTTTAAACAATACTTTGAGTTTTGATCGTAAATTTTGTGAAACGGAGACTCACGTATGTAATATAACCCACAATCATAATATAGAACGTTACTGATTATCAAAGGATTAACTTATTTTTTTCCTATATTTTTGGGTATTCGCCCTTATAACCCTCTCCCAAGATTAACTGATATTGAATTTTTGGATAAGGAAAGAACAACAAAATAGTTTTCACCAATATCACCAATGCCGGCCAATGTCATCCTGGATTTCTTCATCATTTCAATGTTTCTTGTGAATTCAATAATGTCATACCTTCAATAGCCCTGCCAGTACCAGTTTATTAACATATACCACAGCTGTATGAGCAAAATAGAATACTAGTGGTAGACGTAGTCTGTCCGGACACAGATAAAACACCTTCTCATCTGGAAAATAACAATTATAACATGACATGATAATGTATGATTATGGTAAAGGACAATTTGAGTTGGGCCATGATAAAAGTAAATGTAAGATATTATATTAATTAATTAATAAAGCTTGAAAAATGTCATGTTCCTTAAGCAACGTTGCATGATAATGCAATCACTATCCTTTTACACCAAATGTTACGAGATTCCTGATTGGATAAACTTAATAGTGACGTATGGTTTGCCAAGGGGGCTCATTAGTCTCTAATGACGAGAATATGGGATTTGTTCAAGCAACGGTTAGATGTGAATAATCGTACCGTTGCATGCTTAAGGAACATGCGAAAATCTATACCATTACACGGATGGTAAGTGAGTCATTACATAGTAATCGTGGTATGATAAAGTTTATCGGGGAAAATCATTTAGCAAGAAGAATAGGAAAGGGTGGGATAAGAAATAAGAACAGCATGATAACCTCTGATAAGATCGGATTATAAAGGATCTGATATCATAGGATAGTGATTGGGTAGAACAGAATTTCGACAGTGATATTGGTGTAATACACGGGATTAATTAATTATTCACAAGGTCGAAGAAAAATTCCATGTAAAAGTTTGGAAAAAAAGGGTGCCTTGAAAACGAGTCTTGGTGGGTTTTAAAGAGTTTTTTTTTTATTTATACTGTTTTACGGGGGGG